GACGTGCTTTGTTCATTCTCAAGACTTTAGCCAGTGCGTTAACATCTCTGGCAAAATTTTTAGTTTATAATTCAAGGGATAAAAACCTTGGCAAAGAAGTGAAAATTTGGAAAAAAATAATTAAATATTGTTGACTTACAATGCCTAAAGAAAAAGGCAAGCGTCGTTCAGGACCAACTCGAGGCTCAACTCGTGGCCGTCCGCAGCGTGGCATCGAGCAAACGCCGGCTGCAGATGTTGGTGAAAGTTCAACGACGCCGTCGAGTACTGCTGGGGTGAACTACGCCGACTTATCAACGGAGGTTCTCCATCTCCTCCTGGCGCAACGAAATCTCGCGCTTTCTGGTTCGCGTGATACTCTTCTTCGTCGCCTCGCCGATCACAATGGAGCAGAAGTCCCACCTGCATCGAGTACCGATCGGAGACCCAGCTCAACACCGGAATACTCATCCGAATCTCTCCGCTCGCTTGCGTCGAACCTTGTTCCTCTTCTCCGCGACGTTTCGGCCCAACAAAACGGGTCGCCGCCAACTATGCCACCTCGACCACCGTCGCTGCCAAGTTTTCCCGCGCAAAACGCTCCAACGCCGCCTCTGGACCTTGGTAATCCATCACAAGTTGCCAGCCTCCTTTCGTCGCAGCCGTCGACATCTTCTTCGCCATTAGACGTCAGCCCAAGTTTACCAAAAAGGCTTGAAGAGCAAATTCTAAAGGGTGAGTTTGTCGATTTTTCTTTGCTTCTCCCGGGTAATTCAGACCGTCCTAGTTTTTCCCCTATTCACCTTTCAGTAGAGGGCGACCAGGGTTTCACGATCCCAATTCCTTTCTCAAATTTCAGAAAGCGCGCTAAAGTCGACAACATAGATAAGTGGCTTACTGCTTTTGGTATTTACGCGTCCGTGGTTGTCGCTAAATTTCCACATAAGGCCGCGCAGCTGTTTGCCTACCAGCGCATAATCCGCGAAGCTTCGCAAAAGTTCAAAGGCCTCGCATGGTACGCTTACGATATTGATTTTCGAAAGCTTGCTGCCAAAATTCCAGCGCTTAATTGGGGTGAACGCCATTTCCAGCTTTGGCTAGATAAGTTCACGGGTCTCGCGCGTCAAATTTGTTTTGTCTGCGGCGGCGCTGATCACATGTCTGATATCTGCCCTCTTTCCTCAAGGTTTGAAGGTAGCCGGCCAAGCAGGTTTCCAACCAAAGAAAGTTTTGCCGGAATTTCAACGGAGGTGTCCCATGTATTACCTCTCCGTGTCCGTTCGAACACCGCTGCATTCGACCAGACTGTGGTGAACAGCATGGCGCCTACACTCACGATGACACCAGCGCTAAAAGAGTTGATGACACTTCGCGTCGCAGAAAACACAAGTAAAGCTTTTGTTGACAAATTAAAACCAGTTACACCAATTAATGTTAATTTACTTGAATCTCTGTTAACTGACCACCCAGATCGTGAATTTGTCTTCGGCCTCTGTTCGGGCTTGAGGGACGGGTTTAAAATTGGCTATCACGGGCCTCGTCAGCCTTATTTTTCAAAAAATCTAGAAACCGCTTACCTCTTGTCGGAAACCGTTGATAGTAATTTACTCGACGAAGTCAAACAAGCTCACACTATTGGGCCTTTCACTGCACCCCCATTTCAAAATTTTCAAATTTACCCGTTGGGTCTCGTTCCTAAAAAGAATTCGTCCAAATGGAGAACAATTTTCCACTTGTCGTATCCAAAAACTTCCAACGCCAGCGTCAATGCGAACATTTCGTCCGAGGAATATTCGCTACAATATGTACGCCTTGATGATGCTATAAGAATCCTTCTAAAGCTCTGTCCAAAATGTTTCATGGCCAAAACCGATGTTAAATCCGCCTTTCGTAACATACCAGTACATCCTGACGACTGGGAACTTCTCGGCATGAAATGGCGTGATTTGTATTTTTCGATCGTGTACTTCCTTTTGGTCTTCGAAGTGCCCCTTTCATTTTCAACATGCTTTCTGATGCCCTCGAATGGATTCTTATACACAAACTAGGAGTTTCAAACGTTCTCCATATTTTGGACGATTTCTTTATAGCCGAACCCGCACCACGTTCGGCATGTTTAACTTCCTTATGTAAATTGTTGTGCCTGTTTACCGAGTTAGATGTTCCAATTGCCCCTGGAAAAACGTATGCCCCTAACCAAGTATTGGAGTTTCTCGGGATTTCTTTAGACTCTGTCCGCATGATAGCTTACCTCGGCCCCCTGATAAACTTGGTCAAGCTAGGTCTTTGCTTGAGAATTGGCAAAAACGTTCATCGTGTAAGTTAAAGGAACTTCATTCTCTAATTGGCGTTCTCCAGTTTGCATGTCGTGTGATTGCCCCGGGACGTACGTTTCTTCGTCGCATGATCGCTTTAACATGTGGGGTAAAACAGCCTTACCATTTTGTTCGATTAAACTCAGGGTTTTATAAAGACTTAGCTATGTGGGAACTTTTTCTAAAACATTGGAACGGTATTAGTCTTTTTCTTGAGTCCGAACAGACGCCATCGCCAACACTTCAACTGTATACCGACGCAGCTGGTTCCATAGGTTTCGGTGGTTATTTAGCAGGGCAATGGTTCCAAGGCTTTTGGCTGCCGGAACAAAATATCAACCAAAAAACCGGTATTTCGATCGCATGGCAAGAACTTTATCCAATTTATCTTGCCTGCTGTCTCTGGGGATCCCAGTGGACATCTAAACTCATTGTGTTTTTCTGTGACAACGAGTCCATCGTTCCAGTTCTTAATCAAAAAACCTCTAAAAGTCCGAAGATAATGGATTTACTGCGACCAATTGTCCTTTGTACGCTAACAAATAATTTTACGTTTACCGCTAAACATGTGCGCGGAATCGATAGTGGCATTGCTGACTCGCATTGATGGACCCCTTCAAGCAATTAGCGCCGTTGGCCTCTCCTCTGCCTTGCGTCATCCCGTCATCAATGATTCAAACCTAAGAGACCGTGTCTATCAATTAATTCAACATTCTTGGGCGACCTCAACAAAACAAACATACGCAGCCGGTATTAAACGGTTTATTTCTTTTTGTCTCGAAAAAGGGATCATGACACCTTGTTCACCTCTGCAGCCTGCGACTCAAATTACTTTACTTTACTTTGTTGGACATTTATCCCAATCAGTTTCTTATGCAACTGTCAAAACGTATCTAGCCAGCGTGTCTTATCTGCACGTCATTTTCCAAGTGCCATTCAATATGGGGACCATGCAACTATTAGAAAAATGTCTGAAAGGTCTGAAATGCCTGAAAGGTGAAAAAACGAGAGGTCGTCGGCCCATCACTTTTAAAGAACTCGCATGTCTTTATCGTGCACTACGTCCCCAGTTTACAGATTCTATAGACAATGTGATGTTCTGGGCTGCCTTTACTTTAGCCTTTTTTGGCTTTCTGCGGTGCAGTGAGTTTACTTGTAATTCCCCGTTTGATCCTGAATACCACCTTTCAAGAACTGGCATTATTTTCTACCCGAACATTTTGAATGCAGAACACTTTGACGTCATCATCAAACGCTCAAAAACTGACCCATTTCGCCGTGGATGCTGTTTAACAATTGGATCATCGCTTAATGAATTCTGCCCTGTACGAGCAATGAAGAATTATTTACTCCAAACACCTTCCATCCCCGAAAGTCGACCTCTTTTTCAGTTTGAATCTGGAGCTCCACTCACCCGTGCAACACTAACTTCACATCTACGCAGTTTACTTCAGCAGCAAGGACTAGACGAAATCCTGTATGCTTCACATAGCTTCAGAATTGGAGCAGCTAAAGCAGCTGGTTCAGCAGGACTCCCTACTTGGCTAATAAAGACTCTTGGACGCTGGTCCTCAGATTATTATGAAAGGTATATAAGAACTCCGAGGGACGTTTTAGTGTCTGTAACATAACATGTTAATTATTATATTTACTTTAGCTGTTAGTGGTATAGCTTGCATGGTTATGTGGATCCTTTTCGCGTACTTCATGGAGGGTTGGTCATTCATACTGCGATTTCATAATGCAAACAGATCCATTGAATTTGCTTTAACGGTCCACATAACCGGCTAATAATTATAAGCGTGTCGTAGCCGGACTTGGCCGCGTCGGCAATGAACTGAAACGGGTCTGTAACTAGTTTTTCCAAATAAAAACAACAACAAAAGTTTAAACGCTTAACGAATCTGCCTTACATTGACATGCTATAAACGCAAAGAAAAATTATTTAAAAAAAAAGGTCTCGCTATTTCCTTGCCATGCAGTTTATTTTTATCCACCCATTTTTCACTTTATTGCCGACCCGGTTGACTCTGTGCTGCTTCCCGTGGCGGAAATCACAACCTATACTTCGTGTAGATTGTCATTAATGGCAGGGAAGTGCTGTCCGATGGACAACACTTCACAACGTGAAGCGCAATCACTGCTCATTCAGGTCGCACTGAAGGCCTGAATGAGCAGTCCTAGAGACTCGATGTGGTCAGTCAGGTTATCAGTTGCGGCCCGGGGTAATGTGCCCTATACCAATAGTTGTTCACCAGTTCAACTAGGTCTCAATGTCGACGGCCTGACGGATCTGAACGGGAGTTCGCCTGTTCCCCTGTTATCTAGAGGTCCGCCTGTTCCTCTAGAACCTACAGTTTTTACGTGTATCCTCAGCCAGCTTTGAGTACCCTGGGTAATGTGCCCTATACCAATAGTTGTTCACCAGTCCAACTAGGTCTCAACTCGCTGAAGGACATGCACAGAGTCAAGCATGCCCTCTGCAGTCTAGAGATTCGCCTGTTTCTCTAGATAAAACTTAGGTTAGCGAGAGCCTCTAGACAGTTCGGCCGGAACTGTTTTCGAGCACTTCTCTGCCCAAAATATATGCCACAAAATGTGTTTCAAGTTATTGTTGTCCTGCTTAGTGGCCAATTGTTCGATTTTAACTATCTATCTCTTTCCAACATATTCAACTTCATTAATGCGAGGTTGCCATGATGATGTTTATCACGAAGTAAGAAAATAACCTAAGGGACCGGTCCGATAAAGTAACTGCTAAGTTGGGCAGCAGGAAAAATAGGTTTTCAAAAAAATAATAAAACCGGTGGCCTATCCCGAGAACCTAAAAATCCCATCGTGTGTTGCAGGAAAAATTTCACAACACGATAAATTTTTTGTTTAAAAAAACACATTGGAAATATCATCTCCTTAGTCCCTCATCAGAATCTGATTTTGAGAAATTTACTGACCGAGGAAGAAATTCCGGATTTGTATCCTTCTTGTGTCGTTACTCGAGCAATGGCTAAAGCTATGAAAAAGTCTGATGAAAACGAAATGCATGTTGACGACATTAATTTGGCCGATTCGTGCCTTGCAAAAGTTTTTGAAAATGAAAAAAATTGCTGTTTCAAGTAAATCCGATTTGTTTGCAAATAAAAATTTATCGCAATCGATTTCAAAATCTCATCTTGTTTCCGAAAAATCTGAATCTGTGGATGTTTAAAAATCAATGGCTGTAGATGTGGCTTAAAAAATATTGCCAATACTAAACTATTAACAATAGCAGGATTATGTTTTTATTTCATTTTTAATTATTTCTTATATTGAATGTTGATTCTTTTAATAGGAATGTTGTGTAGTAGTTAAGGCATGTATTTTAATCTAATTATTTCTCAACTCACACTGGGTGGAAAGTGTTTGTATAGATAACTTTGATAACAAAAATTCAACGTATAAAATATGTGTTTCTCAATAATTCGCGCACACTTCTCTCAAGCACATGTTCTGTCCCATCACGCAATTCGCGTTCTATACCTTTCTACCTTAAACACGTTCTACTATAGGGTCCAATATTCTATTTACCCAAAAATGGTGCCAATTTTCGTATTTTTAAACAAATTTGTCCAAAACTGAAAAAAACAGAAAAATTGGTGCTTAAAAACACCTTTTGTGCAAAAAAAAAAGAATGCAAATTTTCTTCTCTTGCTAAAACAACCAAATTTACCTAAAATTAACAACACATTTTATAGACTGTTCTGAAAAGGATCAAATAATGCAAAAGTAGCATGACAGCTAACAGTGAAAATATGTTGGTTTAACCAAAGGCATCTTTGATCAATTTATATTTGGAAACTATATCAATGTTTCGATTTATCGACACCATGTGAATGTTTCAGTTTATCGAGACCATGTGAAATGTGAATGTTTCGAGTTATCGAGACCAAGTCAATGTTTCGATTTATTGAGACCATGTGAATGTTTCGATTTATCGAGACCATGTGAATATTTCGATTTATCGAGACTAAGTCAATGTTTCGATTTATCGAGACTATGCCAATGTTTCGATTTATCGAGACCATGTCAATGTTTCGATTTATCGAAGACAATGTCATGGTTCGATTTATCGAGACCATGTCAATGTTTCGATTTATCGAGACTATGCCAAATGTTTCGATTTATCGAGACCATGTAATGTTTTGATTTATCGAGACCATGTCAATGTTTCGATTTATCGAAACCATCTTAGTGACATCTAACATAACCTAAATCAACACATTTTAGCAAAAAATAATATTCTATTCAATTTAGCATTATACACATACATAAATAGAAAATATATAAAGCACAATGTATTTAGGTGAAAACTATTACGCTCAATATCAAAATGATATATATTTAAATAAATTCACAAATAAACTATTAATAAGACTGTTGCCCTTAATGAAATATAACCTTATACAGGGATGGATTTACTTGGGGGTGCAGGGGGTGCACACCCCCCCTAGCCCTGGCCAGAGGGGGTGCAGGGTGCTATTTTTTATGATAAAGCAAAAAAGACAAAATGAGATACAGTAATTGAGTAATAACATGAGGATAAGTGAACTGTGAACAACAATTACAATTCCAATACAGTAGTTGATGGTCGGGCAGCACACATGACCGACACAAGTCGGCACCAGAGCACCCCCCTACCAGATCATACTAGATCCATCCCTGACCTTATATGCTGTTAGATAGAGTAATATAATGAAAGGGCAAGTAGGGCACATTGAAGTTTTGTACTGTGATGCTCCTCAAAATGTAAGACAGTAAAGCTGGATGAATGTAAAATATCACATTTATTACCATTTAGACTGCAAATGGTAATGTAAATTAGCTGTGCCGAGCTCTGCGCTTATTACATTACTCTGTCCAGTACAAGGTGACTTTACAGTTTACAGTGTTCTTTTTTTATATAAACAATACTAAAATGTTCTTCAACAATGAGTTCGTCATCTAGCATGTAGTGTCAGTATATATTTTCTTTTCCTTATGCAAGTCAAAGGCTACAAGAAATATACAACCTGGCAAACATCTGCCCAAGGCTCATTTTTATCAGCCAATGAAAAGACCATTTCTTGATGATGATTCCTTTCCGATAATGAATCTTGAATGAAGATCATCTAGCGTCACCAATGAATGGTTTGTTACATATAGCCCTTGTCAACATAATCCTAAGGGGAATTGATATTATTAATGAATGGTGATTATGGGAAGCACTACTGTACGTATTTTCATAAAGCACACAATGGTAATTCTACTTTTCGATTATATTTTAGTCATCCTCAGCAATGGATCAAATTAGACACATTGATAACAGTGCCTTGTATACCCTGCAGTTAGCTTTTTCTTATTGATGCTATGCTTATTGATAGAACACCGATAATTATCACAATGCTTTCATTAAAATTAAAATTAAAATCTGGGATTGTGCTTCCTTACATGAACAAAATGTAATTTTCTATGCTAATATTATTATGGCTCATTTGAACAGGCCATACAAATCAGGTTAAAATGACCAAAGTACATATTTAATTTGAAGCTACATGTAGGGATCGCCCCTCAGTGCCCTCACCCCACTCCTCCATTGGCAATGCTTGGATGTGAAAAGCCTATTCTTTATAGACCATGTACAAACTTCTTCACATTCATAATTCAATATTATTAAGTTCAATGACTTCAATCGAGTGAGATGCCCAAGAAATATTGTTATAAATATTACACTATCAAAAAGCTGACAAGCGAAGAAAAAATGTTGTCTTTGTAAGAAATAAATCAGTTGCAGAGAGGCCAACATCCTGTGGAATTGTTACTGTATTAAACTCAAGACAAAATTTTTCTCATGTACTTTATACACGAGTTGTAAACCAGCAAAATAAAATTCCGTTACAATATACTCCTGAGATAATGAGATTGTACTCTCTCTTCTGGGGAAATAAATAGCAATTGTGTAGTACATACCTTGCTTGATTTAATCTTTAAGTATTCCTGCGTTGAGAAGTAATAAATATTCAAGGGTGGGTTGTAGCGAAGTAGTTGTAGTTCGCTACTGTAGCGAACTACAATTTTCAAGTAGCCAGTAGTTTTTGACTACTTTTTTAAAACAATAGTTGTAGTTGTAGCCAAGTAGTTGACTACTTTTCAAACAGCGAATCGCTATTCGCTACTTTTTAAAATTGTTAGCAACTTGATAGAATAGCATGATATTGAGACACGGTTTGCTTAAAATCAATACTCAATAGTCAATTTGCACTCCTGAACACTGTAGTCGGCTTACAAAAATGTTGCTTTGTGTTTACTCGGCTTACAAAAATGTTGCTACTCCTAAGTCGATTTGTTATAGATTACATTACAGCCCTGAGTTAGTACTTAGTAGATGTTCCAAATACAGTAAAACTAAAAAATATAGTGTAGCGAAATAGCGAAATAGTTCGCTACATTTTTTAAGCAGTAGCTGTAGTCAGTAGCGAACTACCTTTCTTCAAAAGTAGCAGTAGTTGTAGCTGACTACATATTTTTGAAGTAGCTGTAGTTCTAGCGAACTACAAAAATTTTGTAGTCAACCCACCCTTGTAAATATTCAAATATTCCGTAATATTCCGGCGATAAAGAAGAAACGATTTGAATATTCGCAAATATGAAATATGGCGACAGCAAGAGTCGCGGTGCGCAAAGCATGTTGGTATTATTTTTACCGAACTCGAAGCGAGCTGCTTCGATTATGTCCTTTTATGGACATCGTCGTGTTTCGTTTCATAAACTGTTGGTTATTGTTCGTTTTTTGGCGCACAATATCTATAAATTTTGAATTCGATTCGCATTCAACGGCGTATATGAATATCAGCGTTTATATAATAGCTATAGTACTATGGTAAATCTTTGTGAGGACAGTAACAAGATTAAAGTTAAACAGTCGATTCTGTCGAAAGATCAAATCGAAGGAAGAACGTTGAATTGCTGTCAAGGTCGAGATCATGGTCAAGATAGTGCGAATTTCAGGTTGGTAGATTTGTACTTTGAACGTTTACAGCGGCCCCAAGAATATTGTTTACATTTTTAAAATACATATCCCTTCTTGTCTGTGTTTTAACTGTACAACATGTGAATGATCATCACTTCTAGTCTTCAATATTCAATATTCAGTGGTCATGAACGAGTTTTGACTTGAGGCAATGGTTCACATTTCACATTGTTTACATATACAATAAAAGTATATGGCCCCTGTACATAAGTCCCCATCAAAAAATCTTTACGAACGAATATAAGCCCAGGGCATATGTTCGGAGGTTCACGGTATGCCATTATATATCTGATTCTCTTGTGTTCTTTGATTGGCAGTAAAAATTGTAATCATTTTAATGGTGCCTGTTCTTATAGTTTTTTCCATTCTTTTAGATTGATGTAAACCAAATGATATATCACTTTTGCATGCTGTAGTAGATCAAACACAAAAGAACCGGGTTCAGACCACCTGATAAAGGAGATTGACAGTAGCACAGCTATACAAGAAGGTATATAATCAGTACCATGCATGTAATGTTTTGTGAAGATAACTCTTTTGATGTATTACATCGCTGCTGTGGGATTGGTATCTGCAGTGGTCTGCATGTTACTGGGTCCAAATGCATTGTCGTGGGAAAATTGCCTAAAGCAATATAGTTATAGGGCAGAAGAAACTCTTAAAACTGAATTTAGTTGTTACTACTGTATACCATACTGTCTAATGAAGGATTTTAGTCAATATAGATATATACATATGTTGGTGTTGTATATGTATAATTAATATAGCTAGCTAGACTGTACACAGGGCCGCCTAGAGAATTTTCAGGGCCCGAGGTAAACCTTCCCTGGGTTGCCCCATGACATTATTATTTTTAAGCTAGACCCAACTAAACCTTAGCTAGACTGCATGTGGAGGTACTGTAAGTGGCATTCAATTTCAAAAATGCTCTTTGTAGAACCTACTCAATTTTAGGCTCTTGCCCCAAGTTGGGGCCCTATTAAGGTGGTGGCCCATGGCAATTTGCTCCCCCCCCCCTCTTGGCGGCCCTGACTGTACATGTGATTATTTTGATTATAGCTAAATTGAAATATATGCAACCCTATATCGTAGAATGTGTTATATTTTGAGTGTATACGATATTGCTAACCCATTGAGCTGAATTGTGCCCTACTTTGTTGTTTTACTATCAATATTTAAAACATGGCTTGTTTTGGCAAGACATGACATCCTTTTGGTTTTTCACATATTGAATTTGGCAGAATGTCATTTCTGAAATATATCGAAACAATGCCATTTCTTTGATGTATCGAAACCATGGATAGTTTAGAGTTTTTGACATATTGAAAAAATGGCAATCTTTTGATACATCGAAGAAATGGCATTCTTTCAATATATAGAAGCCATGGATAGTTTAGTTTTCGATATATATATCGAGGAAATTGCAATCTTTCGATATATTGAGGAAATTGCAATCTTTCGATATGTCGAAGAAATGGCATTCTTTCGATATATCGAAGAAATGGCATTCTTTTAATATATTGAAGAAATGGCATTCTTTCGATATATCGAGAAATGGCATTCTTTCGATATATCGAGGAAATTGCAATCTATCAATATATCGAAGAAATAGCATTCTTTCGATACCGGTATATTGAAGCATTGGATAGTTTAGAGTTTTCGATATATCGAAGGTGGCATGTGCCATGTTCTTGATATATAATTTTCACTGACTGTGGCTGCCTCCAGACATGTTTTGGAACTATAACATTTTCCTCTTTTTTCCCCTTTTATTCACATGCCTTTTACTCGTTTTGCTACAAACAATAAATTTTGCCCAAATTTTTTAGCAGTTTTTTCCTCTTAGAGATTTAGTATCATTTTAGTCATATTTTGCAACTTGGAAAAGCTAAAATTGTTGCAAAATTTGTACGTTTTTGCTGAATATATTTCCAGTCATTTTTAACGTGCATTTGATGTCCGATATATCGGACACCTTGAGCCTGTATTCATTTTGGCCCCCTGATGCCTCTGTGAGGGACTGTATTATACTTCATGTTATCCAAATGTTTCGGTACTGTCATGGCGCACATTTTGAGATATTATTGAACGAATTATGCCTTTTGAAACGATTTTTATGAAAGAAAGAAGATCTGTCCCTTTAAATAATGGCTGTAACGTGAGTAAACAATGTTTATAATGTGAGAATAAGTGAATACTGCGTGTTATATTTGATTTTTTTCGATCGAATTTATAATATAATGTTTGATTGGGAGTCTTGGATATTTTGTCTGAATACTGAGCCAAATATTGTTATCAATCAAGCATTTCTAGGCTGTCAAGTGCCTCGATATATCATTTTGAAATATTGAGCTTACTGATAATATAGAAAGTGGCTTAGAAAATGTAAATATTGTTTATTGTATGAGAGAATACGTTCATGACATTAATTTTCTAAAACTGAATGGCAAGTGAGCAAAGATATGCCAAAAATGGATCTCCAAAGTACATTATATTTCAACCGACCTATATTTGGCCACTATTGCGCAATACGTATCCATCAATAAGTGACAAAAATTCTGATAAAACAATAATTTGCTATGATAAAGTTATATACCAGATGAATGCTCATGTAATGCACTTTACATCATAGTGAATAAAATAATTTTAGGAGTGAATTATGTTGACTTGTTTGCACCCAGAGACCGGACTTCTTGACTAACTGTTACTGTTATCGAGGAAGAAAGGGTACACTGTTGCCATGGAAACTATTATGTATGCATATGTGTTGCATATTTACAATCTGTGTTATTTGAGCTTCAATTTGATATACAATTTGATGTATTTGTGACAAATGTCTCAGGCACAAATTATTTTCTTTTCCACTTATTGGAAAAACAGCATTTTTCCAAAAATAAATCTATGCGGCAAAGGGTTATGCAAAGAAGGTGCTCCTTTTCTTTAGTTTAGGTTTATTTTTCTTCGTTTTGAATAGTTTTGAAAGACTTTTAGACACTTTTTGCCGTTTGAAACTCGGCTCTTGTCGCAGGGCAAAAAAATTGCGTATTGCCCGTGGGCAATACGGGAAAATCCTGCCTCGTCAGCAGCCAATCAAATTGCGCGATTCATCAAAACAAATGCTTGCCGTATAATAAAAAGTATTAGCACATGGTAGGCAATCCCCAACAGCCCAAGCCAATTACTGCGGTCCCTTTAACAACAACAAACATAATGATAATATAGGAACGAGCTGGCTATCTTCAAAACAGGGAATGGGGAATCCGGGAATCGGGGAATCCGGGAATCGGGGAATCCGGAAATTGGGGAATCCGTATACGGGAATCGTGTTAATTTATAATACTAATTATTTAAATTTATTTTTAAACTGATAAGACGGGGGATATTAGTGTGCTTGTTGCATGGAAACTTGTTCCCGTATTCTCCGTTTCCGCATTCCCTGTTTTAAAGATAGCTGGAACGTTTCCTTGTCTTCAGAGGGGACTAAGAAAACTATCAAATAGTTAAGCATTTGCACATGATCAAATTGTTGAGTAAATCATTACCCTTAAATCTGGTCAACGCGAAAATAATACATGCTACGCAAAAAAAGTTATTGAGAAAAATGTGGATCATATGAACCTACGAAAAATATCATTGTATGGTTCAGTTAAAGAACATTTTATACAATAAATTTATCGACGGTCACCTTTGGTTTATTTTCTCGCATAATACTACTTCTTGCACGTGTAGACTGTAATATTTCTAGTTTTTAGGTTGTCACATTCACTATTTCGCTTGCATTTTCACAGAAAAGGCAAAACATCGAAGTCGCTCCCATTTTGAATTTTTGGCAACTTTCGGTACACTTGACACCAAGTTCGCAAAGCAAATTTCAGTAAAGGTGATGCATGCGCAGACGTTTTCCCGTGGCGCTGCTAATTCCGCATTCAGTTCATTCTGCCCGGTGTCACAGGATTTTCGCCCCCCCCCCCCCTCAGGAGATTAGCCCCCTCTCAAAAGGTGGGCGATATCATAGATATAGGAGATCTAGATTGCTAACGCATACCTAGCGCAGGTGGGGCCTACATGATAAATCCAAGATGGCGGTACAACAGGGCAAAAAGACTATAGATTCCATTATGAAAATCAGGATTTTTGCATTTTTTGCCGTCGCATTGTTTCGAAATTTATTCGGTCAAATTTTATGGTAAAGAGAAACTTACCGCGAAGATTTTCAGCATATATATGATTGATTGGATGAAAAATCGCAAAATTATCCAGCGATAAAAGTTCGTGTGAATTGGTCAGTTGGTCAGTTCGAGCGTTTTATTGCCAGAAATACTGTGCTATGTTAACATCTAGCCTTGTGAATGGTGTTTTATACTTGCATCTCTCATCATCATCTGCTCTGTCCTCATAATTATAAAAAATGAACTGTTATGTAACCCCCCTCCCCCCCCCCCTTGCTTGTTAGAGAAGTAAACTGATGAGAGCACTGGATGAGGGTCTATCATCTATGGTCTGTTATAATTTGCTTTTTATGCAAATAGTGAGCAAAAATTAAATTAAAACTGTACAAGTTACATATATAGTACTATATCAGTACTATACACGAACTTTTATCGATGGATAATTTTGCGAGTTTTCATCCAATTCAATCATATATATGCTCAAAATCTACGCGGTAAGTTTCTCTTTACCATAAAATTTGACCGAATAAGTTTCAAAACAATGCGACGGCAAAAAATGCAAAAATCCTGATTTTCGTAATGGAATCTATAGTCTTTTTGCCCTGTTGTACCGCCATCTTGGATTTATCATGCAGGCCCCACCTGCGCTAGGTATGCGTATTGAATATTTTTGTAGTGTGTTGTTATTCATTGTAAAAATATAATTTGGAAAACTCCTCAAATCAAACATGCCTTCATTTCTACAAAATATTTTAAAGTACAATGACATTCTAGTATTTTATCATTTCGCGATTGATGAAAAAAATTAAAGCATGATGTACAATGATATCCAAAAGAATAATTCATTTGACTATTTTTACTTGAAAACACTTTAAAAGGACTAATTAATCTAGTCTATTCAACCGTCGCCATCTTGTTTTCCGCGTAAATCTCGCGCATGCGCAGACAAATTGCACCTATGTTATAGGAGTACAATCCGGAATTCTCTCTTGTCATAGAAACAATTTGCAGTTCTCAAGATGTCTGATATACTCAAGCAAGCGCTTCTCCTCAACACAAATACCAAATTGCTGCTTCTTTCACCTCACTATTGCCAGATGAAATGACACCGTCTTTAAAAAACATTTTAGATTGGCTCTAGGGGCGAAATTATCGACAGGTTGTTGTTATCCGTCATTCATCATAGTCAGAGTTTTGAACATGTTCAGGTAGTGGCCGGGATTTCCTGGATCAGGTTAATGTTCTGGAACCTTAGAGAACCTCGCCCCCACCCAACTTATTTCCTGGTATCTGTTGCAAATTTCGTTGCATGCTTGTCAAAAATGCATGCAAAACCCCAGTATACTTCAATTTCTTTAATTTTCATCCCGTTTGTACTAATTAACCCGTGAACATAGAACATATCATTCTTACAAATCATATACTTTTCTTGTTTTTGGATTTGCTACTTTTTGGCGGGTAAATTACTTCACAAGCCTGGCGCCAAAAAAATTAAAATAAGCCATAGGTGATTTCATGTATCCATTTAGAAGAGCCCACTAATGATGTCTTAAAACTGAAATTAATAAAATTATCGTGTTACCATGACATCTACTTCATGTTCGGAAAATATAGTGGTTTTGTCAACAAGGCGAGTGTTTCTGCAACCAATCAATGCGTTCGCTACTGGGGCGTTTACCCCAGTAGGCCCTTTGCTTGCTCAGTAGTGAAGCAAGATTTTCAGATGAATTGGGCCCCTTTGATCATTTGTAAAAAGTCAACCTTGCTGAAAAATCTGCCCGCCCTATATTCTGGACATTCCATCTTATAAAAGTGAGAACAAGCAGGTGCGGCGCTAAAGGGGGGATGCGGGTGTCGGGATTGAAACACGTCCCAGTCGTCAGGTAGTCAGCAAAGCATCTAATCACAGTTGGATAGGAAGGAAAGAGACTAAAATATTTGACTGACACTGATAGAAACTAATAATTGCAGCTAAAATTTAGAGAAACGTACGAAAAAATTACGGAAAATTAAACAAACTATGCTACGTTAACCGAAAAGCAAATGAAAAGTTTAATGTGCGGAAAACATTTTGATGTAGAGCCGTGTACCCCTCCTCTCGCCCCCCTCCCCCTCTACTCGCCAACAATTTGGGGAAAAGAAATATAAATTAGCGTTTGAAATGAGTAGGCAAAATTTCACTTACACGCCCCCCCCCCCCCTCATTCAAATAGAGCTAGAGCCGCCCCACAGGTAACTGTGCGGGGGAGAGGCCTTCATTGAGGTTTGGCTCCACTAGTTGCAATTTCTTAAAAAATGATGCCTTGACGCTTGTGTTTGAATTTTACATTAATTAAATTGATGCTTATATTACGCATAATAACGTATAATCACTTACCTAATTGATGTTTGGGAAATTGATAATTTTATAATAAAAAGTGATATTTTTAGGAGATTTTACTTCATAAACGGAAAATATAATGGTTTTGTCGGCAATGGTTTTGTCGGAAAATATAATGGTTTTGTCAGCAAGGCGAGAGTTTCTGCATGCATGTATTTTCTAGCATATTTTATGATTTTGTGGCTTTAATTTTTTTGCCTATGAAGCTGTATTAAAGTTTCCTATACTATCATGTTTAATTAATCAGTTATTTTTGTCGTTTAGTACAAAAAATATATAAAAAATTTCTAAAATTTTTAAATGACTTCATTCGTGTTGCCATAATTCATGTCAAATAAATGTTTGAATATTTTTAGACAGTGTATATAATTTAAACTAGGTTACCCACAGGGCAGTAATGCTGCCTTTGACAGCAAAAGACAAACTACAGGGTGTTGAACGAGTCCTTCAGAAACATCCTATTATTGTTATCCTAGCCTGCGTAGCGGCTCTCAGAGAAAGTAGATCCGATAGCCGCTACGCAGGCTATTGTTATCCTTGTTAACCCATTTATTGACAGCACGGCCCTACCACTGACTGAGTATTAAAAATCGTCTGGCGTTGGACAGGGTAAATACTAAAGTCATTACTGTGCTGATGGATTAACAAGAGCCATTGGCAGATAGGTTTGTTAACCCATTTACTGGCAGTACCCTGTACCACTGACGAGTAAAATTTTCTGGACAAGGGAAGGGCGCATTGCCAACTAATGGGTTAAACCACCGTGGTTAAACATAGGCGTACCGGGCGGGGGGGGCGGGGGGGGGGCGGCAGCCCCCAGTTTTTTGGGCAGTCGGGCAATATGCGATCAACAGTCGGGCAATTTTGGCTTGCAATAAAAAAAATGGGACAAATTCTGTCAATTTTGTCTAAAATTAAGTCAATTTTTTTGCAAATTTTGCGATTTTTCGAAAATTTGTGTTATGTTCCGAAAAAAATTGGTTGTCCGGAAAAATTTTTTGACCCTAAAATGGTACACTGACCGAAATTTTTTTGATACTAGTCGGGCAGAATTCGAAAAGTCGGGCAATTTTCTTTCCGCCCCCCTAATTTTTTCCTTCCGGTACGCCCATGTGGTTAAACATAAGATTTCATGATGCTCCAGGAAATGTAAACAAGCTATCAGTGTGACATCCCAGTTTATATATTTATACACTCGGAATATTGATTTCTCGGTAAATACAAAATTATTTTAAAGTATAACAACCAGCGAATACGTAAGCCACTACCTACCCTGCGCGGCTGCGCGCAGACTATATAATGAAATATATATGTTATCCTTCCGGTCCGTCCGTCGCCATCCGTCCGTCCGTCCGTCATTCGTCCGTCCGTCCGTATCCCCGTTTTATCCTAACTCGTTTTTAAAACACAAAGTTTGCATAATTAAGGCAGTGCGGTTCGTCATGATCAACATTTTCAAAAAGCGGCCAATTAGACCAGGGGTTAAAGGGCAATGACAATGACATGCAAGTGACATTTAATATTGTGTCTCACTAATTAAAATTTGCGTGTTTATTAATAATGATGTTTATCAAAGAAAGCAAAAATATATACAAGACAATCTCACTTGTGAAATTTTTTCACTTACGTACTGCCTTGTGATGCATTACAAGTATAAACACCAAATGACAAAGCATTTGTAAATCCTAAAACATAATTAAATCATACGGCACATTCAAGATTTTAATATCGTATTTCAACCGCGCGTTTATACTGCTTGGCGCATTCGCTGCGTTATATTCATTTATATACACAGAAAAGCATGTCATTGTCTTTGCGGACCATAGGCAAAAAGCATTCGTCAACTACATACCAAATTTAAGCAATCGTTAAATCATATACATGTCATGGAAAGAATATGAAAATAATGTTGAATGAAAGCTAGCATCGCGTATAATGTTAAAAGCACTGCATATAGTGCCGAACCACTGCGTATAATTGCAAAAGCACCGCGTATAAAATGGTGAAAGCACCGCGTATAATGCTGGAACCACAGCGTATAATGCGAGAACCACCGCGTATAATGGCGAAAGCACCGTGTATAATGCCGAAAGCGCCGCCGTATAATGCTAAAAGCACCCAACAAATTGCCGTTTGATCACTTTAAGCCAGCTATGGCTTTCCATAAAAGAAGACCAAAGATGAAAGATGATCACATTGCCTGTTTGCCTTATGCTTGACCGCGCTGCACCACGGTTAAAATTCACTGGTACCGTCATGCAATGCGCCAAATACAAAATTTTGATATCGACCCACAAAACAAAATTAGGATCTGCTGCCTTGCTCGCTCGCTTCAGGCTCGCTCGCTGCGGCAGCAATTAACCCCAATCAGGTCGGAAAGTTTTTAAAATGTTAGAATTCGGACATTTGCTGCGTCAAGCTTACCTTCAAAACAACCATGAACTTCAGCTCTCATGGAAATGTGAGATTGCCAAGATTTTGGTTGGATTCTGATGAATCTTGCAACAACAACAGGTGAAAGTTCTTGACGGACAACACTATTTCTATCAGTGTTACCTGAAAATACCTGCGTCAAAGAGATACATCATTTTAGCGCTAGCAATGAAACACTTCTCTATTATAATTTGTATGCAGATGAAACAATAACATAAACTCGAGGTGATAATCCTGGCGCCGTTCCGGGCGTAATATAAAGTTCGTCAATAATCGCGGGCGTGTGGCTATGTTTCATCGTGTTATGGGTGGATCTTCTCGAGGGTCTCAGAAATATGGTGTTTTTCAGGAGTAGGATAAACAAAATTTCGATTTTCAAAAACATACATTTGGAAATTATTCAATGAGCTTTGAAACACTTTTTGTTTGAATAAATAAGAGGAATTATTTATTATGGGAAATCGTAAAATATTGGGCACGTTTGCTTTGAATGTTTAATGTAGATGAATTTTGTTGCTTTCATTATTTGCCTTAAGCAATGCACTGTTCACAGGTTTAAGTTTCTTAAATTACCCTATTTAGTTTTACAAAAAAAACTCAAAATGTAATTAAGGAGAGCAAATAAATTGCAACACCGGAACGCGACAGGGACGGCAAACAAACTCGTTGAACCCAATAATTGCAAAAGAATAATAGACCTGTCGTCCATTATTCATCATCTGAAAATGATACAGTTTAAGTGTCAAGGTTAACACAGGGTTTACTACTGAGAAATTCAAGGACGTATATAGGACTCATACACCTACAAAAGTACTATAAAATAGGACGTTGACGTAATTAGATGAGAGGTGAGAGAATAGCAAAAGGATTATATTTCAAGGCATGTTTTAATACCATGGACTGGTGGGTCATTTTCCCCACTGGGCCCCTTCCTCTGTCCCACCACTGAAGAAACAAAATGGCCTATTGCCCCAAAGCCAGGGCCCTAGGACCTCAGTATTGAGTAAATGAGTTTAAAATTGAACTTATGTTTGTTTGAATGTTTAGCGAGTAATTTATCGTGTGTTTGAATGTTTAGCGTGAGAGTTTTTTAAATGTGTTCTCAGAATGCAGGAAATGCTATTACAAAGACCCAAATTTTAAAAATTTCCTGCCGGGGCATGCCCCTAGACCACCCTATCTAACTCGTACCCGTGGCACTCGCCTTACACCTTCGGCGATCGTATACTATCCTGCGGGAGAAAATGCGCCCTTTGGCAGTTTTGCCCCACCACTGAAGAATCCTTAAAAAATGCACTGTTATATTTACAATGACATAACGGTTCGAATGCATCGAAAGAAATCGTGTTTTTTCCATAGTTAATAAGCGTGCTTATCAATACTTAGGTTTGAAAATAACTTTGAAATAAAATCGAAATGTTTTATCGTGTTGAAATAGCTCGAATCTTGAGTTTACAAATGCTTCACCTTCTATTTTTTCGAAATTGCCTGCTGGTCAAGGATTTCTATGCCAAGACCTCAGATATAAGGGCTTCATTTTTGTGAAGAAGTCTAAAATATTGTGTGAATATAGTAACTTTCGGAATCGGCTTTTCTCAAAATATCGAAATTTCTCATCTTTTCCAGGTGGCTAGTCTAAACCTCAACAATTTCTTAAATTATTTAATGTTTTTTTCTGTGTTGGGCTAGTATTCCAAAGGTCGTAGGTTCGATTCCCACCGTGGCCAGGCATATTTTTCAAGTGTGCCCGGTGTGGATATACACTCAGAGTAACATCACAAACATTTTTTAATGATATTATAGTTTGTATATGGAAATTCCTAACGCAAACTTTATACATTTATTCAGAGGCCGCGGATCCGGAACCGGCCCGGTGTAGAAAATGTGCCCCTCTTTGTTGAATAAAAATGCCCTATTTTCTAGCAATTAGAGAGAACTTATAAATACCTCCTTAAGCATTGGTTATAAAAAACGACAGGAGAGTTTGACTGAATTAGTCTTAATTAATATAAAATGATCTCTTTAATTCAAATTTGTGGTTCATGTGTTCATGCTCAGTTTAGAACGCAGAACTCTTAGAGTATATGTATAAACTCCGAGGCTGTATATTACATACGTCCAAACCACAACATATTCTAAGGACACATCTAACATATTTACAATGTTTGCTGGCTCAAGTACGCTTTCTGGTCAGTGTCCCGCCCCCCACTTTTGAAGCGCTTCCCCGCCTCTGCATTTTTAGAATCGCATTGCAGGGCCGCAAGTTCGATTCCTCCCAGAGGAGTCTCCTGAATAGTGCAGCGATTCCTCCCATGCAGTTTAGTTGCGTTTTTCGCAAGTTCCCCTTGTTAGGTCTAACAAATGTATAAAATTTACTCGCGATATTTCCATTGCAATTAGTTATATGGAGTAGGATGCCCAAAATCATGGTATTATATATAACCGTTTTCATTCAACCGGCCCAAGAGCTGCAGAACTAAAAAAATATACGACAGTTGTTTTACCTTATCTTGCCCTTTATTCCCTCTGTACGTTTTAAAATTGATGCCATCCTCAGAATAAGCAACAGTGTAACTTCTAACCCATTGATTTGCATCCCTGCGGCCTTGTGTAAGAATCTCTGTAACCGTTGCTCTATATTTGAAATCAATTTGCAGCCACTGGTTGGTATTTGATGGACGAGCAATCCAGCATCTACGCCCATTTAATCGGCCGTAACCTGGACCCCAGTCTCTATTCCATTCACTCGAGGCTTTGAGTCTTGAATTTGGGATCTTTCCACTCTGCATTCCTAGCGCTTTAGGGTCTTTGCAAGCTAGAACGAAAACAAGTTGTTTTAATTATACTAGCCATGCCATCATTACCACGGCATTTTTTAAGAAGGTGGAGGGGGTATACTATACAACGCCTCGCCCGCGCGCAGGCGGGCAACCATAACATTGGGCTGCCTATGATGAAACTTGAACACTTTTAAACGCAGAACTATCAATTTGAACTATGGGCACTATATTATCCGCAGAACTATCAATTTGAATTATGGGCATCAATTTGAACTATGGGCATTATTTTGATGTAAAATTAAAAACGAAACTCTACGTAAAACGTTTTTAAATGTGAATTGAAATCAGCTGCTTCAGGCCGATATATTTATATAAACTATTCACAAGCTTCTACTTATTGTTCGCACTTTGAAAGGAAATAAATTTAATTCGTACACAGGGACGCCGGAACGATGTGAAGGCAAGGGGGGGGGGGAGATTTTCCTGAAAGGGCACTTTTGACTGATTGATATATACTAAGAGATGTTTGTAAAGCATCGGGAGTTGAACTTCGCCTAATCCGTTTTCCATTTATTGGATGATAAGGGTGCGAGGGGGTTCTCCGCCAGGCGATTGTGCTATTCTTGAAGCTCCATGACTGTATTTCTTGCGTTTTCTGAAGAAAATTCGTAAAATAATTGCACTAACATTTCCGACAATTCGCTATTTCGCCAAGGCAATCCTTTAAATTGAAAGGGCACCTTTGCCTCCCCCCTTGCCCCTCCTGCTAAAGGGCAACGGGGCGGCTGCCCCTCCTGCCCCCAGTTCTGGCGTCCCTGTTCGTACAGGACGCTAATGTAAATAATTTGCTTTCTTTTTATAATGAACTTCTACAAAGGTTAATTTAACTAAGAAACGTTCGCAAACAATGCATAGGAAAGACTTGAATATCAAGAAAAAAGTCCACATTATTAATACAAAGTCATACATAAACGATTGAAAAAAACTTGCCCTATACTTTAGGATTTCTCATACTAAACCAGTTCTTATAAATGCTTACGTTTAAACATGGTAAAAAGTTTTACAATTTGTTATGTGAAACGATTTTCCAAGCTTTCCGACATGCATTTTTATATTTGGTGTCTCTTCACTCCTGGCAAACAGCCATATTTAGAGATCAGTGAGATGACCACCCACCGAACCACTCACGCTAACCCACGCCCGCGATCATTGATGAACTTTACACTTCGCTAATGCTTTCGTTTCCCCGGGTGTAAAAAGCCGGGCAGAATTAGTACCCTCGCCCCGGGCTTACGCCCGGCGCTCCGCGCTGTTGGCTCGGGGGTAATGTAAATGGTACGTTTCTTGTGTGATTGCAAAGTCAAACGAGGAACTTACTATGGTATAATTATTCAGATACTATTTACTAAATAATGCAATTTTTTACAAAAATGAAGACATTACAATATCCTAAAATATACACTTTCATGCACTGTACAACCGCGTTGCGTTTTTGTCGCAAAATATACAATTCTGAAACTGAAGAATGTCCAAATTTTTCTTGAGAATTATCTGTTCTGACGGCCTAATGTTCTTCAAAAAATTCCAGAAAATTATAATTTCATCCGCGTCCCAACCCCGCGTTTTTATCACTAACTCTAAAGACTTTGCACCTCACAATGTCTTCAGTGTATCAAGTGCGCACTCAAACTTGAAGTGATTTTGATTCCGGCTATAACATTAGGGAGCGGTCATAAAGTAAGTGCTACCCCGGGGCGGAGGATATTGGGATGGGGTATGAAATTTTTTTCAGGGATCTGGATGGGGTATGAAATAAATTTATGACTTTAAAGAGGGGCTATGAAACAAAATTTGTTTGTTTCAATACAAAAATTGTGTTAATACAGTTTAATATTATGGCTCCGTTCCTGGTCCAAATAATTTTTCATACATCACTGCCATCGTTGTCTCATAAAAGATTTGACCGTTGCTCAAGTAGTCTTCCTTGCAGTTTCTCTTTGTGTTGTGATTTTATTCCTCTTCATGACCTTGTGTGGAGGAGTACATGATGATACAAATATTATTCAAAGAATGGCTGTAAGAGAGACTATTGTACCGTATATTTAATACACAGTGTAATCATTTTTAACCCTATTTGTACATTGGGTGCGCACAATGAGTGCACCCAAATAAATATTTATCTGTCATTCCCGAACAAATGAACCCATTTGCTTTTGACGACATTTGTCAAACAAGGTGTCGGGGCCAAAAATGGGAAAATGTGGGTTGGACAGTATTTCGAAAGACATAAGATTCTTCGAATCATTAGAACAGGACATTAAAGCAAACCCAAAACGATTTTGGTCCGTTTTCAAACTTGGCAATAAAGCAAGCAGCGTTCCTGAGCAAATGTCTGCACCATCTAGCAGCAAAAACACGGCCACGGGTGTCACATCCATTCGGAAAGTAGTCTCTAGTTCTGTCGACAGACGCCTTCAACCAACATTTTGCATCGGTATTTTCTGGCGATACAGAAGAACCTCGCCCCCAATTCCAGTTACGCCAAAGTCTTTTTCAAGAAGCGTAACCTCCACAAGAAGCGTAACCTCCTGCCGATCCATACTGAGGAGAATGTCGTTCTGGACTTTTAGTAAAGCTGTTTCTGTTGAGTGATTTTTTCAGCGTATCGGAAAAATCACTCAACAGAAACAGCTTTACTAAACGTCCAGAACGACATTCTCCTCAGTATGGATCGGCAGGAGGTTACGCTTCTTGTGCTTATCGACCTAAGTGCCGCATTTGATACTATCGACCATGCAATTTTACTGGAGACACTTGAAAAAGACTTTGGCGTAACTGGAAATTCCCTCAAATGGCTAACATCTTATTTATATATCCGAGAGAAAACAAACAATTTTAATTAAAGACCATGAATCGGAAGTTTTCAATCTTCAATCGGGAGTTCCGCAGGGTAGCTGCCTTGGCCCTGTCCTCTTCATACTCTATGTGGCTGGGTTATTTAAGGTTATTGACAAACATCTTCCCAATGCACATACGTATGCAGATGACACCCAGATTTATCATTCGTTTCGGCCGGATACATCTTTATCGCAAGATGCTGCACTAAAGAGTATTGAAAACTGTGTTGCTGACATTAATTCGTGCCTGGATGCTTTCTAACCGTCTCTTGATAAATGATTCCAAGACTGAATTTATTATCATCGGTTCAAAGCAGCAAATGTCAAAGATTAACATCAATGAAATTACAGTTGGTGAATCTACGATCGAGCCTGTGGAGGTGGTTCAAAGCCTCGGAATGTGGTTTGACTCACATATGTCGATGGATATTCACATTGGAAAAGTGTGTAGTAAGGCGTTTTGCAGCCTCTATAATATCCGGCAGATAAGGAAATTCCTTTCAGAAGATACAACAAAGATTTTGGTTCATGCTTTTGTTACTTCACACCAAGACTACTGTAACTCATTGTTTTATGGTCTCCCACAGTCTCAATATGATAGGTTACAAAGTGTTCTCAATGCTGCAGCACGTGTGGCCTGTCTAATCCCCAAATTCGATCATATTACTCCCGTTTTGATTGGCCTTCATTGGCTTCCTGTACGGTATCGGGTGATTTTCAAGATTTTGTTGCTGGTGTACAAAGCTCTTCATGCTAATGCACCGCCTTATATCTCAGACCTTCTGACACCTAAGCATATTGGTTGCTACAGCCTGCGCTCGAATGAGCAAAATTTCCTAATAGTTCCTAAGACAATGAGGAAAACGTTTGGCGACAGAGCTTTTGCCAAGGCTGGTCCATTTTTGTGGAATGAACTTCCCGCTGACATTCGTGAAGCGTCAACAGTGGAAACTTTTAAAAGCAGACTTAAGACCTTTCTTTTTAAAAAGGCATTTTATCTTTAAATATAATAGTAAATTTTAAACATGTATATATAGGTATCATCTCATACTTTATAACATTTTATTTGAATTTGTAATGATAGCGCTTTAGAATATTTATAGTTTTAGCGCTTTATAAATTAATAAATTATTATTATAATTATTATCCCCAGTCAGATGGGTCTGGCATCTCTGGATCCTTCACTAATGCCTGGTTCCAACAGTGAGCCTGGTAGCGAGTCCGCTTGATATGTTGCTTGAGTGCAGCTTGTGTTGGAGGGATGTTTTCTAAAGTTCTAGACTTCTGTGTGAATAGCTGTTTCCTGGCATCATTGACGTTAGTACTCTCGCTGGTTCGGTCGTACATCAACACCACATATCGCTCTAGGAGTAACAAAGCTTTTTCACTGATCTCATTTGGCATGCATAGGAGTTCACTGAATGCGTAAATCACGTCTGGAAAAGACTTCAATGTTTGCCATGCTGTCTTCTTTCCTCTGCCAGCGAATGTAGATACAGTATCACAGCCAGTATATGCGTGAAAGACTGGAAGAGTGAGACATTCTGAGGGAGACACTGTGGAAACTATTTCGTGAATAGCTATGTACCGAAAACTTGATCCGGCGCCAAAAGCAATCCATAGCTCATCAGGGCCAATCTTGCTGAATGAAGCCACAGCCAGTACCACTACTTCAGTATCAACGGTTCGTATAGTGATCTTTGTACACCCCTTTTGCACAGCATCTGCCACATGCAGAAGTAGACGAGTGTCGGCTTCCTCTTGCGAACACGGGGCAAGGCGGGCTAAGTTAGACTCAGCAGGAGAACAGAGGACTCCACTTCCATCACTTGCATATAGTTCCTTGCCATCTGCTAGCGGAATATGAACAACTTTTTGTGACAAGAAAGTGAACAATTCAGTCTTGTTCTGATCGACTCGAAGGAAGTTCTTCCAGTTCTTAGGCATTGCAGTGGAAGGAGCGACCCTTTTCCTGGTTCCTTTCCCCCTCTTCTGCCTGGTGGAGGCCTTCAGGCTTGCAGGTAGGTATAAATCCCAGACAAGGTCGACGCGGTGACTCTTCTGGAATTGGGCAGCGATGTACGGTGTAAACACTCTTTCACCATATTCTTGAAAAGTTTTTGATGTTCCAGGATTCAGCATTTGGACCACAGCTGCACCATCAAGAATTGTTGCATCAACCACTGGCACGCCATTTTGTTCAGGCAAATCTGCTTCCAGACAGCGAAGTAGATCTGCTTTAACACCACTCCGCATCTTTCCTGCAATTGACAGAGCTGGTGGAGCTGACTGGTTTTCATGAGCAAAGAATGTGTCGATGTCTCCATCACGAGTTTGACAAGAGATGTATAACCTCGAAAAGAGACCACAGTCACTCTTCAGTGCCGCCAGCTGTGCTTTCTGTTTTGATTGAACTTTGACAGGCGGCCTACTAAACAATGGCAGCTTGTTCTTTGGAAGTGTTTCCGTGATAGGTGTTTACACTGTTCTAGCCTCTCTGTGACAAACTTGATGTATTGCTCTTCACCCAGGGTCTCGATCTTTCTCACAGTTTCTGCCACTTCAGCGTCTACAATGTCCCGTGTATCAATGACTAGTAGGTCTTCACTGTGTTCTAAGAACGGATTTCCCATCTCGTCCAGCACTGTTACAAGTGCTTTAAGCTCTTTCAAGAATGCTGCTTGCACCCCAGGTTGCTGGTCATGATGACTGCATTTAGTGTCATGATGTTGCTTCATGGCCTGTTCCTCAAACTCTGTTGTAAGTCTGGCGATTTCTGGCCCTGCTACCATCCAACGTCTCAGTGCTCCAGGATTGCCGGTCAATCCAATAGCCCCACCAGAGCCTTTCACCATTGCATTGTTCTGCTCGTGAGACTGATCAAGTGCCATGGGAGAGAATTTGTTGCTGGTTTTGTGTACCACAAAGTTTCCTAACTTGAATTCAGCGAAAACATCTGGGTGTTTTTCAGCAAGTGTCGTCATGTCGCGGATGTGTACGGAAAGCCATCTCGAGTAGTGTGTATGATCTAGAGCGAACATCCAAGGCATGATCTGCGTCAGGGAGTCCATGTACAGTTGGAAGTTACCTTCACGTAGTGATCTAATGTACCGCAACAAGAGAAGCTCCAATGACAACGTCTTAAGCCAGTAGTCAAAGTGAACACTAGCATTTGCTCGCTGTATGCACCACTCCTCGAAAGACGGAGTATCTGGTTGCATAGCATCAGTATATTCGGATTCCCTTGGCAAGTGCATATAGTGGTTGGTCAGCAGCAAGGACGGGCACCTGACCAGGGTTCAAATGTTGAACTGCCGCCTTGACAATGTCCATGGAGTGCCGTATCATTGCTACTGAGTGCGCATTGTCAAGAAACAAAGGCAATAGTGCATTAATTGCTGGAGGTGGTATGACAGCTTGGTGCATGTCAGCATGGTAGGCAGACCACGATATCCAGCCATCAACAGTGGATTTTTCAAGAGCTGTCTTGACTTTTCTGAGCCATAGATATTAATCTTAATTAGGCAAATCTAAACTGAACGCTAACTCAGGGGCAAAATTGAAACCACTTGCATTTTAGTTTTTTCTGAGTTATGAACAGAAATAATTAACACTGAATGTTGGGCTATATATCAAACTGAAGCTATTGAAAAACGCTATTCGGTGTGGGACTTTCAAGACTTCAGCCAAAAGGGAAATATTTAAAAAATATAACAATAATTGCCATTAATTTGCCATTTTTGTATTTTTAAAATATTTCCCTTTTAGCTACAGCCTTGAAATCCCCACACCAAATATCGTTTGCTATAGCTTCAGTTTAATATATAGCCCAACATTCAGTGTTAAGTATTTCTGCTCATAACTCAGAAAAAAAAACATTTTGGCTTCAGGCAGGTATGGCGTGTTTAGCTGCAGTTAGCGTTATATCAAACTGATAAACTCTGCATTTCACCTTGTTCTAAGATAAAGTTTTAAGTGATTTATTTAAGAATAATTCTCAAAATTTGGTTTCTTGAATATAAAAAACATGTTTTACATAATGTACATTATATAAAACATGTTTTTAATATTTTTTTACTCACCTGGATTTCATAAATATGTTAATTCCAGTCGCCATGTTGAAAAGGCTGAGCCCGCACTCTTGACCGCTGATCGGTGCCAACTTAGCTTACAAAGACGCTAATATGGAACATTTATACATGGTTATATCTTATAATATATTTGTGTACTTATTAAAACCTTTTTTTTTAAAATTTGTAATAAAAATACTGGACCTGTTTTCAGGACAAGTATTCACTGGTATTATATACTAACTGCGATATAAGCACCCTAATTTTAATATACAACCGATGTAGCTACAAAGATGAATTTTGGACACCATACTGAATTATTGACGTTGATCCATATGAGTCACCGACCGTATTTATGGGCATCATAAGGAAACTTTAGTATGACATCCCAACCATTAGGTGCCACAGTCGTTTTGGAACAATTTGACCTTGAGCTTGACCTTGATTTTTAATAAACTACATATCGCGATCTTAAACGTATCACCAATTGGACGTGTATTCATAATTTTATCATACAAAGACACCTAATATGTTTTTCTACACTGCTTGGCTCCAAATTTTAGCGTGGTTGGTGTGATTACGTCATGAGAAATGGCGGCCATCTTGGATTGACCTTACACGGTCCCCAAGGTCAAACCTGACTTCCCTCCACATCTGAAAATAAAGCTTATGGTATGCACTAACTATGTTAGAAATTTCATGCTTTTCTCAAAAAACGCACAATTCTTATAATACGAGAGCTTATCCGCCACACTATTTTAAAAAACCCGCCACGCGTGCAACGTCGACCACGTGTGTTGGGTGTAGCACTACTAATTTCGCGTGTGGACAAAATATCCGCGACACAGACCTAAAACTGTAGGGAGCCACCTTAAGTTTGAACAATATTTCTATATGTTACTTATCCTGCGTCGTGAGGGAATGAAAACAGTGAAACGCTTTCGGACTGAAAATTCTTGACTGGATGTCTTATAAGGTCTATAAGCAATAAAGTATTGGACATTACATGGAATTAATTTAATTCATTATTTTGTTAGATGCAATATGGTTTGTCCGATCATGTTTGGTAATGTTGACTGATGTTTATTCAAAATTTCCATTCAACATTGTCCATGACTGTTGGAGAAACAATGTTTGAAAAGCCCTTACAACAGAAACATAAAAAAATTGTAGCAGATGTAAATAATCTAGTTAACCAAAAATATAGTCTGTGCATGTAAATGTGATGACATTATGCAGGGCAAGTTGTGAGCAATTGTGAACATTCACTAGCTTCCAATCAATTAATGTTTCTTCGTGCATTGTAAATATTTGCGTTTTATAAAATAGCCTTTGAAAAACACGGGCGCTAACTGGTCAAAAGCTCAAAAAACTCGTGTTTCTATTTAACAATTATAGAAACACGGAAAATGTTTTCTATAATTCTTAAATATTACCACGGAGTTGCATGGCAGAGTAGTAATTGTTTTGAAAGACTGTCCTGTTAAATAAATGTTTAGCATGTCATGTTTATTTATTTTTCAGAAATGCAGAAATTTGAAAAAACTTAGCTTGGAGTCCTGTTCAATCCCACTTGGTATTTTAAGGTAAGGTTTTGTGAAAAATATAGTTCTTTAACAAGTATAGTTACATTTAAAACGCGGACAACTTGCCAACGAGTTTGCTCTTTATATATCGGTAAGTCGGAACACTAGATATTAGGTGGTGACTGTGCAAGTTACATCACCGTCGCCATGTTGGATGACATTGACAAAGGATTTTGCTTGTTTGCAATGCAAATTTCATCCAACATAGCGAAAATCTCTTTGTCCTTTGAATCCCATGGGAGTGGTTGCACATCACCTGAAGATACAACCTCGAGATTAACGTCAACGGCAAACCATGAATTATACTAGATATGATGTTTTCAGTGAAAACTGTTTTAATTATAAGAGTTATAGGCCTTATTCAAGGCCTTATTAGAAACGTAAAATTATGCTGCAGAATTTAGACCGTTGCCAAATTTTTAAACCTAGGCCACTCATCGGCAGAACGTGAACGTTAATTTCAAACGGCAGAACGTGAACGTCAATTAAATTTACTTGATCCTGCTTTGTCGAGATGAAGTGAGAGGAAGGATGATCAATTTAGTTCAATTTATTACATTTGCAAAAAAACTGAAATAATATGATATACAACATCAAAATAAATATTGTTCGTATATTATATAATACAAATATCATGCTCGACACATATGATGCAACAAAATACAAATGACATGCAAGTACCAAGTGAAGCTTGCCTTGTCATATTTGTTTAAGAGAGCTAGCCTAGACTATCCAGAAACGAAACTAGTCTCTATTTGAAAAATGATGTAATAATTTCTGTGGATGGGAAAAGTTATCATGTGGGATCTCAACAAGGTGGTCTAGTCCGGCCCGATACTAGAGGGGCCAGGATTCTTGGAACTGACAAGAACTGAATTAGAATACATGAAAAATGGAAGGTGAATAATTTATATACGGTTGATTGTTTCCGTTATATTGAAATTATTAATTCATGAAATTGTCCTTCAGTAACACAAGTTCTTTGATTTGAAGAGTCTACATCACTAAACGTCACCGTAACTCCTAGCTCTTGAACAGTTTTATGACCACGCCAACCATAGTATGACGGTGGACCTTTAATCCTTGCACATATTGTCACTATATCATCCTTCTCTAAAACAACGGGCGTCTTTAACATCACATCAAAACCTGGAATGCCTTGATCATTACGCGTAGACATATACTTCCCCTGAACTTTAGCTCCACTTACTTCTAAACTTACTGCATACTTGCTATCCCAATTGTTGCCAAATAATCGTACACCGTGAAACATTGCGTCTTCACTCACAGAGAAACATAGCTGATCTAGTTCACCTCTATTGTATAACCAAGTGTGTCCTCCGATACCATAACAAGGAAATCTTTCAAATCTGACTCTTTTATGAGTAGCGTTGAAAGTTCGTGTCCTTGTTGGGAGATTCCACTTTAAATCCGGTGAGTCGATTCCATCTAACGTTTGGTACATCTGATTCAACTCTTCAGTTGTCAGCAAACCAGCCACATGATTGTCAATATCCTCTTTACTCATACTTAATAATCGTAAGCCATAAATTGCTTCGCCTATAATAAGTCTCCTGTTTTCGCCTGTTGGTTGTAAGTCTTTCTGTAAACATTGACGTTCGCTCCATTGTAGAACAGCTTGAAGCAATTCAACTTCAGGGATATTAAGATTATTACGCTTGAGTAAACTTGTTATTGTCCTTTGACTGATGTTATTAAAACACTCGGAGCTTGTCACTTCGCTTGTACGCCACTCTATAACACGCCAACATTTCTGTTCTAATTCCCTCTCATCAAACCAAACAGCTTGTTCCAAAATTATCAGGGCGTTTTCCGGATCCAAACATTTCTGTAAGAAGTTTATACACTTCTCTGTAAGCGTAGCGATAAGGTATTTCTTTGATAGATACATGACAGACACAACGTTGTTTGTTGTCAAATAACACTCGTCTGTGTAGAGGAACCTCAAAAATTCCTCTAGACTTTTCTCGTCTATATCTCCGAGATGAAGAACTGAACTCTTCTCAGCCATGTCGCCATAAAACATTGCATGAAATACAACACTACTTATACCCAAGACATATTTATGTGCATAGAATATCTTGGCTGAACCTTCGCAAGTAAAGCTGATGTCACTCATGTCTGAATTGTTGAACATATGACGGGTTCGTTCGGCGACGGTTTTCATTGTAGATTGCCAGTCTACATCTGGCTGAATTGAAGCCATTTTGGGATTTATAATGATAGAATGATTAAATTGATAGAGTAAAAATGTTACATGTATGTATAGTGATATGTTTGGAATCACGTGAACTAGAGTCCCGGATCAGACGAGGATGAGAGTCACGTGATCTTAGCTAGCTGTTTCTTAATGCTTCCCCAACACTCGTGTATTCTATCATGTCGGAACACTCATCAACCTTTTATTTTGTTAATCTAGAGCTCGAAATGTGCGCTGTGACAATGCGTGACTGCGAACTCTCATTAACTCTTATCCCTGTTTGACCACGGGGCTTACATATTATTAAATTGAAAATAATATATTAGTAATATATAAAGCACGAGCAGCTGATCTCTAGCTGATTTACAAGTCAAATACAGATCAAATGCAAATGCTTTATATTGCTTAAAATACGAATGCATCTAAGAAGTACTAATTTTACCAACTATTTTGGCAATATGCTTCTTTTTAGTCAAGAGAATCGAAGCTAAATTTTATGTAAAGCTGGATTTCCACTTACAAGAAAAATTTCGCTGTCGAAATTTTTCGCTCAATTTCTTTTGAATTGTGAGCGACCAAGTAGAACTGATTTATTCGGATGGTCACAATTCAAGAGAAATCAAGCGAAATATTTCGACGTCCAAATACTATTTCTCTGTAAGTGGAAATCCCCTAAATCAGGGCTAAAGCCGGTTACAGACGAGCAAGTACGCATTGTTATCGGAGGACATTTCAAGCTCTAGATTAACAAAATAAAAATTTGATAAGTGTTCCAACCAGGCGCACACTAGTGCAAGTTGCACGCGTGCGCTTGTCATTCGTGACCAATTACGTGCGACAAAAATCCTAGTGTGCGGGAAAATATTCAGGATTTTTGTCACTCGTCTCGTGAAAAATAAATATCAAACATGTTTGATATTTTCTGTTATTCATGATAAAAATTCCTAGTGTGCGGCAAACAGCTCATCGCAACTTTTCGCAGCAAAGAATATATAATTTTATATAATTTTATCTTTCGCAGAGCTATTAGTCGTTTTGATGAATTATCAGTCCTCAACTTATGTATGTGTCGTCAAATAAACAAGAGAGGCCTTAGATCTATAGCACTTGGATGCCAAAGGTAATGTACTCAAATTCAAAGCCGTGTACATTCAGGCCTGTTTTCCACTCATTGCCAAAATAGACCCACAAGCTCTCTGCATGCGAGTTCTTGCATCAAATGAAAATAAACTGTCGAGGATTGTGATCGGATGAAAGCACTCGCAGGGAGCTTACGAGTTGACTCTGGCGATGAGTGGAAAAGAGCCTTAATTAACAATGTTTCAATCAGCTATTCCCACATGTCACATGATCAGTCGGCGCTGGTACACACGTAAAAACACTGTTGCAACAAACCTGCAGCAGACTTGTAGCATAGCTTGTAGCAATGCTGTTCCAACAACTTGTCAACAGGATGTGTTTGCACTGCTTGTTCCCAGCCCGTTCACAAGTTGTCAACTGCTTGTTGACAACTTGCTACAAGGCTGTTGAGCTAAACAGACTTATTGTAGTCCTGCAATTCAACAATTTGTCAACAAGTTGTGAGTGACAACCTTGTAGCAACTTGATAAAATAACAGCGTTGTTACAACTTGTTGACAAGCTTGCTACAACCTTGTTGCGAACACTGTTGTTGACAAGCTTGCTACAACCTTGTTGCGGACACTGTTGTTGACAAGCTTGCTACAACCTTGTTGCGGACACTGTTGTTGACAAGCTTGCTACCACCTTGTTGCGAACACTGTTGTTGACAAGCTTGCTACAACCTTGTTGCGGACACTGTTGTTGACAAGCTTGCTACAACCTTGTTGCGAACACTGTTGTTGACAAGCTTGCTACAACCTTGTTGCGAACACTGTTGTTGACAAGCTTGCTACAACCCTGTTGCGGACACTGTTGTTGACAAGCTTGCTACAACCTTGTTGCGGACACTGTTGTTGACAAGCTTGCTACAACCCTGTTGCGAACACTGTTGTTGACAAGCTTGCTACAACCCTGTTGCGAACACTGTTGTTGACAAGCTTGCTACAACCTTGTTGCGAACACTGTTGTTGACAAGCTTGCTACAACCCTGTTGCGAACACTGTTGTTGACAAGCTTGCTACAACCTTGTTGCGAACACTGTTGTTGACAAGTTGTGAGATTTTACGTGTGTGCGTCGAACCAGAGATCCTTGAGTCGATTCCCGGTTGGGAGTTTCAGCAATTTTTCAGTAAGTATTGAAATACAGGCTGGAATACCTTAGCTTTTTGGATTGGAAAATGATCGCGTATATTTTATTTTACTTTCTAGAATAACAGAACTTAATCTCGGTTGGACGAATATGACTCCTGAATCAATAGCAACGGTACGATAAAGTAGGATATTTCTTTTTCAATGTTTGGTAACCTTTTACATTTGAGCAAATTAAGGTGACTCGATACAGTTTTCAAATCATTCAAGCGTACAACCAACCTCGTTCCCAGGCTCTTCTTGGCGTACAACATGCAGTGTGACATTTTTAAACTTCGTGCATAATTTTACTTCGAAAATAGACTAACAATACGCAAAATATTAAAATTCTGTAATGCCATTTAAAAACGCAAAATTGTCATTTACTTCGATAACATTTTTTGGCATTACAGAGTTTAAGGCCCTGTTTACACTATACCGGATTCGCTGGTCACGACATCTTCTTTTGCCGTTACGGAGCAATGGTTAGTAGCAAATGCTTATTAGTTGGACATAATTGGCATGTTTATTTGGGTCTCTGAGATTAAAAATCTTCACAACCTTTCGATACCTACAAAATTTGACCCACTCCGATAGCAATCCTTTATAGTGTAAACGGAGCCTAATTTGAACATATATATATAGGTGACCGGGAAAATGATGAGATGTAGCTCATTGTTTTCAAAAATTGGATTTTTTAATGACGTCAGCAATTACTACAATTTGCGAGCTACAGTGAAGCGTGCATTTATAACTACGTTTCAAAACGTTTCTTCAGCATGAGTTTGTCAATCAGAACTTTTTGTTCTGCCATAATAACTTTTGTGGGCAGTGGGCGTGGTGTCAAGCACATTGTTTTGCACACGAGAATGTCTTCTTATTTTTCACACGGACGCGTTTATACTGGCAAAATCAGGGCGCTTATATATAAGCGCCCTGGACAAAATTGCTATATATAAAGCGAAATGAGTTTTGACGCCGAAATTCAGAGTTTCGCGTGCAAAACAATATGTTTATATACCACGCCCACAGAAGTTATTATGTCAAAACAAAATGTTTTAGGAGTAAAACAAAAAGTTTTGAATGACAAACTCATGCTGAAGAAACGTTTTAAAACCTAGTTATAAATGCACTCTTCACGGTCGTAATATTCAACACGCTAAAACAGCACGCACAATGGCCCGAGATGGCGTGAGCAACTCACTACATCAGGTCATTTTCTTCTTTTTTGGGTAATTCATATTCCCACGGAAACAAATGATCACGCGCGTTTATTGACATACTAAAACTGTCTGTATCAGTGTAGGTAGTACCACTGTGAAAATGCTGTGCTGAGTGGTTATATTACTACCTTAAAAAATAGGTTTCTGCTTATTTTTTAAGGTAGTAATATAACCACTCAGCACAGCATTATTGACATACAGTAGCATAAAGTTTTGTTTTCGTGATTCTTGTGAGAATTACCATATCGAGCCACCTTAAATTGAAAATGACCTCTACAATGTTTCAGGTTCCTAGACTCTAATCTTACTGTTATATTTACCAGGTGGTGAAAAGTTTCCCTCTGTTAATTAAACTAAATTTGAGTGGATGTCGAGAAACATTGCGCGATGAAGGTAAGAAAGCAGGAAGTTGTTCTGAACTGTTATCCCTAAATTTGAAAGATGTTATTGTACTTCACTTGGTTGCACTGGTGGATCCAGCGAGGTTTTTTTACAGGTGGTGCTGGGCGAGCAATTATATAAAATATAAATTGTGATTGTGTGAAAGAGAAAATGGATTTTTTTCACATTTAAAAATTTGATTGCTTTAATTTGTAATTTTTATTTTGATCATTATCAAATACTTATAATGTTAGACTGCGTTTGCAGCAAAATCAGAGTTTGCTTTATTCATTCAAACTAAAAAATATTAATATTGGACGTATTGGTATTTTGAACTAGTGCTGCGGTGATGCTAGCTCGAATTCCAAATTAAACTTAATAAGTTAGTCTAAGAATGATAACAAACTTTCAATACTTCAAACAGTTAAAAGTAAGAAAAATTTTATTTTTTGCTCCCCCCCCCCCGCCGCCCGTTACAC